CCCCACCGCACCCCGCGGCGCGCGCACCGCCCAACGATCGTCGAGGGCTCCCGACGGCACCCGATCGCTCCCGACGCCGCCCGACCGCTCCACGATTTTTACATCTGCACTGTTGTGACATTGAAATTCAATTTTCGATTGAGCGGCCTTCGACGTGGCGGCGCGAGCCTCGAATGAGTTCCGGAATCGTGTTCCGGTTTCGTATTTGAATAACGAGAATCGGAATTTTTGTTGGGGGCACGAAAATTACTCGATTCGACGAGGGTTTCCTTTGTTGAGCCTCAATAATTATTTTGAAAATTTATTGATATGCCACCGATTCAACGATAACGATTATTGATAAATGTTGAGACAGAATTAAATTCAGAATCGTCTATCCCCTACCCTATTGCAGAATAAATTACGTATATTATGTGTGACGTACCTTTGCACAAAACATAAAAAAATGGTATAAACAAACCATAATTTAAAAGTTTAATTATTTGTATTTAGTAGTATACGAGTCTGGGCAGTACCTACCCGACAGACAACCTGCAACTGGTTATGTTATATGTGTGAAAAAAGTTGCACCGGTTCGCAACAGCGACCGTAGAGGTGACGGCGGCAGCGTGTCGTAGCCGCGTAGCGACGTAGCAACGTAGCAACGTAGCGGAACCGTAGAGGCGTAGCAATGCTGTAGCAGTGTAGCGGTGTGTGGACGGCGGCTAATCCGAAGCGCGTAACTGAGCGGTGCTTTACAAATGGCCACACTGTGGAATTTAATTTCGCGCATTTCTTTTACGCTATTGGATATTGTAAAGATTTGCGGCTTCCATATATCCGCTGACGCCAAGGAAATGTGATGCTTTTCCCTGCAGTTTATTTGAAAAGTTAGTGTGTTGCGGTTGTATCCGAAGCCTTTACTTTAGTTTGCTGGATTTCAACTTTCTACGATTACTACTAACTAACTTTCTACTACACTATGAATATATTGATTATAATTATAATTATTTTAGTAACTCTACTAGTATATAAAAATACATAAAAATGTTGCTTAACGTATATTTTTTGGCCATTTTAACTTTTTGCATTCTTATGACTACTATTTACAATAGAATTTTACGTTATATGTTTATACAGCCTTAGAAGCCGTGAAACCGGAAATACATAGCAATGACTGCACGGTTGTCGTAGTGGCTGGGCAACCGGCATCCGTGCAGCAAGTAGCGGGTTCAAATCCCACACGGAGTATCTCTTTGTATATCTACAGGTCGTTGTTCCGGGTCTGGATGTTATTGTGTATGTGAAATTGTATGTTTGGAAACATACCCATGACGCATGGGGAAATGCGTGTACGTCCATTTTTGTATTTTTGTAAATAAAATAATTTTTACTTTGGAAGGTCTTCTTGAACAAAAGAAGTTTCAGACATTCAGTGACAATATGCATAGTATCTGGTTTACTACTGCGGTTGATTACCTGTGATCTTATTAACATATTTTGTTTGGCTCAGAGTTAGAGTGCAAGCTACGTTCATATCTCCGATGAACCGTGAGTTTACCAACTGTGTATTTTTTATTACTGTGAGTTGAGGTGTTGTATTACAAATTTTAATGTTCAGTACGTAAATTTCTTGAGTTGGAGAAACAATAGAATGATTAAGATGTTACTCATCGTGGTTCCGAGCTCCTTGTCTATACTTCCTCTAAACCAGTGTCAGTGCAGTGCGTACGACAGTAAACTGAACGAACAAAGCTGAAGGCAGTCGCGTTAAAAGTTTTGATCATATTGCGATCCTCTTTGAGTCGTGACTGCTTTTTGTGGGAAAATACGCGGCGAGAGCGAGCACCATTCACCGTGCGCCGCGCGCCGCCATTCTGTCTCAAGTATTTTATAGAAATCTGAACATCGCAAAAACTCTTGTTCCGCTTCCATCCCGCGGTCATGCGGTCTTGTCCTTACAGAGGACACAAACAGAAAGTTCTTTACTTGAATGATGTACTTCCTTATAACTACATGACATGACAATATGAAAATGGAGGTATGGCGAATAACTTGAAAGTTGTGCATGTAATAATGTTTGTTCTCCCAGTAAATACTGCGTTTATCGCTAAAGACATTGCACCCACAACATTAACTCGATCAGGAGCTGTGTGCTGTGACTTGTGACCTTTATACCGCGGAGACGTCAGCGAGCCCGTTAGTTAGTGGCGCCTCGTTTACAAGATTGATAATGTCGAAAGTGGAGCTATTTGGGAAACTTCCAGAAACTTGGTAATGTCATTAAAATATACTTTTAAGAGTAACGTGACTTTGTTGGAGATTATTTTGTATTGAGAGTTACAAGTTGTGGGGGTTGCAGGATGTTATTGAGAAATAAATAATTCCCTGTTACATACACACATGTGGATGTATGTGTCCCGCACACAAGAACAAAGTATCACTCGACGAGAAAGCTGATGTCGTAATAATAAGATTTCGTTAGTAAGTGAAGCGCGGGATCCAACATTGACAGAGTAATGGTGCGACGTCAGATACTCCAACAATAACACTAACTTATTTAAACTTTGGCAAATTCTATTAAAAACTTAGCTCCAGGCCAAAACGAATTCCTTTCGGCTTAAATAAATTTCGAAAGGGAATAAAATAAACATGAGCCCGTCCGTCACGTAGGATTAGTCGGCGTCGGCTGCGCCGGCCGGAGATTAGCGAATGAAAACGTTGCCGTAACCATCGCCGAGCTGATTTTTTATTGAGTGAAGCGAACGCCTCCTTGCTTGCCCTCCCCCCCTCCCCGCCCCGCGCCGCACACCGCACACCGCACCGCGGGCACCTCGGCCCCCCGGGTACCTACTCGCGGAATACTTTAAAAAACAATCCGACTACAATTGGAAGTTTGAACAAGTTCGAGCTCCGAGGAAATCAAGACTTGGCAACTTTTTGTTTTATTGGTCAATTTGTTTCGGAAATATTAAGCGTCGTCGTGTCTGCCGCTAACTACTGCGGTGTCGCTGTCAATATCCATTGATCTGGCAGCTCGGCCACCGGTCTTAGTGCCTTACATGGCTGTACTTCGTACTGAAGTATGAGCAATAGTAACAGCACTCCGGACCAATACTTAAAGGGTTAGAAGTCAAGCAGAATAGCCCACGTGCATAATGACATTGAGGACTCAGGTTCCAGTCTCATTGGCGTTGCAGTTATTCAATATTTTATACTCTTCGTTACTCTACGCCAGGTACCGTGAGGTTTAGTTCAATTATTCGCAGCTTCTGTAGAAGTCGGTTCATTCATTCCGCTTCGCTTTGTCGCATATCAAATGCGCGGTGCACCGAGACAAGCGAAAATCTTAATTGGCAGACTTAATTTAATATTATCCAGACAATTGTTAGGCACGTCAGCGGCACATGGAGCCTGCAGCACTCCATTACAGCAAATAGACCGGCATATGAATGAGTAAACGCTGAACCAATTACTCAAAGACCGCGGCAACTTAAATTAACCGGCTGGGGGAGCCGCGAGCCGTTCGAACTGGATTGCGTTCAATGGAACTGGGTGAAACTGGCGCGAGTGCCGGCGACAACTTGCGAACAATGACAGCTCCCGGTGACGTCACTGGCCTCTGCCCTCCACATCAACTCAGTCGCCGCTTCCTGTACTCCAGTGTACACGATTCAAGGAAACGCTACACGTACGTAGCTACACATACAAATATTTAAATGAGTTAAAAAAGCGCACCATGCGGTCACTGGTCTCTGCAGATGTAATAATAAAAAGGCAGATTAATCTGACATTTCCATATTCCAACGAGATGTGATGTGAATATTCATAGCATTTATTGGAGTAAGTCACTGTGACGGGGGCAGCTTCACATTATACACTTACACATATTTAAAGGGACTTTACAGAATGGAACTAATTTTAGAAAAAGTGTATGTTAGTAATTTACATGTTCCATCATACATAACATCACGCCTTTGATCCCTGAAGTGGTAGGCAGAGGTGCACATTATGTCACTGTACAATGTAACACCCACTTTTCACTATTTATGTTATGAGTCCCATGTAATAGGGGGTGAGCCTATTGTCATATATCGGGTACAATACCAGACTCCGTGCAACTACCGACATTTTTCTATAAACCCAATAATACTTTTCCCTACCCGGGAATCGGACCCGTGAACCCTTGCCCGGCAGTCGCACTTGCGACCACTTGGCCACCGAGGTCGTCAAACTTCCAATGTTCCACCAATTTGCCATAAATGCCATAAATCAGTCAGTCATATCAGCACATCAAATGAGTAGTATCAGTACAAACATGTATACCTCTACTTGCACGAGTATCCATCTCACCCAGGAGGTCAGCACCGTAGCTCCCCGCGCGCCGCTCTATTGTTTGCTGCGCCACCTGTTAATGAGCACAGGAACCACTCACTATTTATACGTATAGTACACTCAGCTGTACTAGACTCTGTGCCAGTATTGCTACTATGAAGTCCACGTATAAGATATTGATGTCGAGCAGCATCGTGGCCCACACGCGTACAAACGTTCATAAGTTGACGTAGAAATGAATCCTTATCCGAGTGAGTAGCGCGGGTGCGAGGTGCGCATTCGATTCTCGCTGTAATTAATAAGAGATTGTTAGAAGAACCTTTAGTTCGGTAATAATAGAAAACTTTGGTAAACAATAACTGGGAACCTTTTGT